AGTGGAGTCTCCTTCGCTGGAGATAGTCAAAACCCGTCTGGATGTGATCCTGGGCAATATGCTCTAGAGGTCCCTGCTTGAGCAGGGAGGTTGGACTAGATGATCTCCAGAGGTCCCTTCCAACCTAAACCATTCTGTGATAACCCTCAGGAATAAAACAAAAAGTCAGGTGTTTAACCTGCATAACAGGACATTAAAGTTAGACGTTAGGAAAAGTTTTCTAATAGAAGGGTTTGTGGAGCACCAGAGTGGGTTACCTAGGGAGAGCATGAGATACCCATTACTGGAGACATATAAGACTAGGTAAACAAACGTCTATCTGAAATGGGGTGGACTCAGCTGTCTTGCTGCAGGACAGTGAAAGAACTATGGCACCTCAAGGCCCCTTCCTGCACAGTTTGATTTCAAGCAGGGAAGGGAGTCTCTCACCTGAATATTTGTCCAAAAGTCGCGTCAATTTTGTCATAGATGGGCTGAGCCAGAGATTCATTGATGTCTATCCGGTCAAAGATCCGGGAGGCAAACACACCGTTCTTCAGGCACACGGCTTTCAGTGTCCTGTGAAAGCCTTGGTACCCACGGTCTCGCTGCAGGAGAGGAAACACAAGGAATAAAATGCATATAGGACAGATGCCTGATTGTGATTTGCACTACAGTAATGCCAGGAGATTGGAGCTGCAGCATGCTGGACATTGCATACTCTGGGTCTCTGTCGTGCAAAACTATCAGCGAAAAGGAGGGAAGGAAGAGGTTTTCATCCACTCTCCCAGGGGGTAGCTGCGGTCCTCAAAGTTTACAAACTAGGTCTGTGAAGGAGCAAAAGTTATCTTGAGCATTTTACAGTCGGGTGTTTAGCAACTGGCCTTGTGGTGGAAACTAAGCCCTCCCTAAGCATGCAGGGTTACAATTCAACGTGTACGAAGCATCACGTATCTCAGCATATTGTAGAAGAGTCATCATAACAATATTGACAAAGCTGCCCTGTACTAAGGACGCCGGGCTGTGTCTTAACGCATGCCTCTCTCCAGACCTCAGCAACATACCACCAGGACACATAACCTTGAATGTTCCCCTTTTTCCTTTTCAAATTGCAGACGGTTCAGAAAGGAGAAAACAAGTCACAGTCTCCAGATGTGGAGACACTGCAAAGGCCAGCTACCACCCACCTGAGCCTTCCTACTGAGACACACAAAGTAACATGACTTGCTGGTGCTTAAGCACAAGGCGAGCACATGCAGCAGCAGATGTTCAGCACTGGCAGGAAATTTCTCCTTGAGCTACAGTGCCTTGAGCCGCGAGCAGCAACCCAACAGGGCTTTGGAGGACCTAATGCTGGAAATAGAGCATTTCAATTCCTTCTGTGTCCCTGCCTGCGTGTGACCCTTAGTGATCCTCCAAGGTCACAAAGGGAGTCTGCCCTGGCGTACAGAGGTGCCCTGTCTCCTGTGTTACCCCTCTCTCCATATGGCCAGGATCAAAGAGAAATCCCACTGTGTTGGTTGTCTGAAGGACACCAGTGCCACCCAGCCCAGCACATCTCTTCGTCCTTAGCTATATTTGAGTAGTCTCTGCTCTGGTGCATGTTACGCACCAGCTTAGCCTGTAAAACAACAAGCAAGTGTTCAGGAAGCTTCGAGGACGCTCTAAACACATTGGGAGCATTGTCCACCCACCGGTCGGTCACTCCTTGATCTCAAAGGATTTACCAGCAGTTGGCAAGCAGCAGAGGAGGAATGGCTAGCAGAGTGGGCTGCTGGCCAGAGAATGAAAGACACTATTAAATCTCTTAGATAGGGCAATGTGACGTACATGGAGGGCCTGACAGCCTGGAGAGAAGAAGGCCAAGATGGGGATCTTGCTGATATCTATGACTACCTAAAGTGCATTATAGAGGAGAAGGAGACAGACTCTTCTCAGAGGCATGCAGAAAAAGCATGAGAGACAGTGGTCACATGTTTCAGGAAAGAAAATATCTGCTACATATAAGCAAAAATTTTGCAATGTGAGCAGGGAAACACTGGAACAGAGGCTGAGAGAGGTTGTGGACACTTCCTCCTTGGAGATTTCAGGACTTGACTGGACAAGGCCCTGGATAACCAGACCTAGCTTTGACATTACCCATCAGGAGGTTGGACGGCAGACCCCCAGAGGTCCTTTCCTAATTAAATTATTCTAAGATTCAAAATAAACTGCTTTATACTCACTTTAAGGAACGTGCTAATAATTGTCTCATAGGACCTTTTTGCTTCATTTACACCTTCACTGAGATGCTGTTCCATAGGTGTAAAACATTTCTCAATATCTTTCTCGAGTTCACTGATCTTCCCCATAATGAAGCCTTTCAAGCCATTTTTTCTCACTTGCAAATGCTGAAATGAAAGGACAAGAGAGAACAAGTCACTGAACACATGCTGGAAGCAACAGAAACATCCCTGCCTCTCTTCCACCTAGAAATTGTGAGGCAGGCACAGGATAAGTTAGGCTTAGATTAGCAATGTCCATAAATCCCTCAGGGTGATGAAAAGGGTAATATCAGGAGTTCTGGGAAAGATTTTCCCCTGAACTCATTACTGAGCCATAAACCCTGGGTTGGCAGGAGGCGGCTGTAGAGAGGGGCTGTTTAGGCAACCTGCTATTTTGTGTTTTTTTCCACCCCTGCATGACTTTTCCTATCCCCAGAATGCAGTGCAGGAGTCAAGTTCACGCTAGGTGCACTCTGGCTCAGTCACTGCAAGCAGTGCTGCCTCACTGGCATCCTATGGCAGGTTCCCGGCCACTTCCCCCGCTCCAGGGATTTTGCTCAGAAGTGCCTAGGTAAAACCCTTCCCCTCTACCACCGGGAGCTAAAGGATGGCCCATGACACTCCTCATTGGGAAGGGCACAGGAAATGCACTCAAGCAACCGTCTGGGGCAGCCATGCATCGGCACCTTCGTTTGCCCACTGCAATATACCTTATGCATCATGCTAGAAGCATATGGCATGCCTTGCACGCTCAAAGGCATAAGGAAGGAGGAAGGCCTATCTGGAGCCAGTACTGCCTGCCCAGCAATTTCAAAACAAACAAAGAAAAAAAATCATAGTATTTGCTAAAGCCGTTCTCGACAAACCTGTTTGTCTTGGTTGGAGCTGAGATTCTGAATCAGTGCAAAAATGACCAAAGTCTCTTTTGCATAATCCTTTAGCATCTTCCTCTTCTCTGATACATAAAAGTTCCGAAGAAACTCCCTCAGCTTTGGGATCTCTGAAACCATGCAAATAGGAAGAGTTAGAAGTGCAAGAGGGTGACACTCCTCCTAAAAACCCCACGGAAACTCTTTCCTCCCGCAGAACCTCTGGGAGGCCCACGTTTCACATGCTGTGGCTTGCAGTCCCTTTGGGTGCGCTGAGAAGGCCAACGGGACATCCTAGGTGTCCAGAAAAGGCATTAAGCATTCATCTTCAGTTGCATCAGTTCCCTGGACTGGTTCAGCACGTAGCCGCACAGGCACAATGCTGGTCCGTCAGAGCACGGGGTGCGGACATGGGGGCACATGCAGGGCCACCTCCACCTGGATTGGCTCCACAGCACTGCAAGGGCGCCCAGAGGACAGGAGGTTGTGCTAAGTGAAAACGCACTGAAAAATCTTTCTGTAGATAAGCAAAGGACTAGAAAAATACAGAGCCAGTGCAGGCACATGCTGATGTCCACAGCTTTATTATAGTAATAGACCCTAGTTCTGAAGGACCAGGTCAAAGTCAATATTAGGATGAAGAGGTACTAGAATAATTATAGGCCCTATTATAGCTCCAGCATCGAGCTGAGTGAAAGTGGTGGTGGGGAACCCTCTTTTTTTCCTCCAAAAAGGAAAGAACGGGAAAAAAAAACTCATGCCGAACCAGAAGGGTTTTTGGAAAAGCTATTGTGTCAAAGTCACTTCATGTTGTTTTAATGCCATTCCAAAAATGGCTGATAACTTTAAGTGCCAAGGTGTAATGCAAGGTATTTAGCATTGTATTCTCTTCAGATCCAGGAACAAGAACGCTATAGATGCCACACGGCACATACTGGCTGGTTTATAAACTGGGGAAAGAGAAGAACTCAATGCACCACCTCTAAGGAAGGATCATTAAGGTGGTGCAAGGCCAGGATGTGCTCAGGGGGTCGGCTCCGTACTGTTTGATACTTTTAATCAATAAACTTGAGGAGGAGGGGGAAAAAAAAGGTAACTCCTGAGGGCCTGTCTAAGCCAGGACGTTATTCCCGTGCCTCTTCCTGCACCTTGTGCCCTCACTGCCTCCCTCCTCCTGCCACCGCCCTGTCTCACCATTGCTCCCTTCACCGTGGCCATGCAGCCCCATGCCATCCACCAAACCAACTGCCCCTGTTCCAGCCATCAGGACCGGGGATTCGCGCCAGCTCCTCCGCAGTCAGCTTGGGTCAGCAAGCGTTCAGAGAGCAACTGCATGCTTCGCGCAGAGAGAAAACCTGAACGTCACCTGTTTCTTCTTTGCTGAGCGTCCTCCCCTGCCAGTACTCCCGGGCGCTGACTGTGTATACCAGATCTGCCTTTTGCAGAACTTCGGAGTGACTGGGAAGTTTCTTCTGCAACACACATGTACCAAGCTTATATGTGCCATCTGCTAGTGGCACAACAGCTCAGATGCACGTGTTTTCATGTATTAATTAGCATATAGTAATTGTTGGTGCATTCTTCGGCAAATACATTCCTGCCATGGCCCAGCTCAAAGCTGATCCCATTGGTGTTGCTGGGCTCCTTCCTTCTCCGCCTACAGCAGAGTGAGTTGATTTGGGTTCTTACTTTTTACGAAACAAATTCTGAATCAAGGGTCATCCTGGTTATCAAATTACTTTCTAGGTTTCTTGCATATGGCAGCAAACTGGAGATGACTAGGAAGACCAGTCAGCCCCAAACAGAGAGATAAAGGAGAGCCTGGCTGGCATAATCAGAAGCTGCTAGATAATGACCAGACTTCATGGAAAACATTTATTAATGAATATTACAAGAATGAGCTACAGACATGCCATCAAAATCTAAAAAGGGGAGATTCACAGCACAGGCCAACCGTGTCCTGGTTTTCCAAGTCCTTACCTCTAGCTGTTTCTTCATCACTTTACTCTTCTCCTGCTTCACAGTTTCATTCCTTTCTAGGATGGCATCATGTTCGTTTGTTATCGGCTTCTACATTTGAGAAAGCAATAGGAATTATTACTCGCATTTCCCAACATGCTAAATAGATCCCTAAGTTTTTAAGGCCAAAGAGCCAGCGTGGTTTCTCCCTAATACAAGGCAAAGAAGTGCATGGGGTTTTTGGTTTCTCCATCAAGTCAATCAATTCTGTTCAGGTTGCATTAGATCATATGGAAAATTCCCCAGTTTTCTTAAAGGACTTTAAGGGATGAAGAATCCATTCCACTTCCTTGTAAACTGCTCCAGTAACTTGTTAATATTGAACACACTGGCTCTGCTTATGCGAGCTCAAACCAGCTCTTCCCCAGGTAATACTTATAGACCCTGACGAGGTCATGTTGTAACCTTTGTTCAGATATATTTATCAGACCGGCTGATAACAAGGGGGTACAGCAGGAAAAGTTCTCATATCAACACAATGCTATAAAATACAGGCTCTCTGAAAATACTGGCATTGTGGCACTTTGGCATAGTTACACAACCTTCTTTTCAGTTTTTTGATTTGCTCTCTGAATTAAAAGTACTATCCCAGGTTTCTTAGGGCATCAATTTATATGGAATATCAAGGACAATGCTAGTAAACAGTTGGTTTAGATTGCAACCTGGAAGAAAGCTAATCTAATGCTATGGTGTCCTCCAAGTACTTCCTGGGATGAACACTAAACCAAGCCTTGTCTTGATCTTAGCTTCCAGATCCCTCATTCAGAGTTCAAAGTTAAACATAAAAGTAGAAAGACTGATCTTCATTTAAAGCAGATGATACTCAAGGAATCAAACCTCACGATATTCCTAGCCCTGCAGCAGGCTTCTCTGGGACGCTGAGTAGCTTATTGTGGTACAGTTGTCAATACGGGAAACAAAAACTTGTAGTAGCGTACAGAGGACAAATTAATGAACGACTGTCGGGATTGTGCCCATATAGGTAAACGCACTTAAATAAACATAGAAAAGGAAAACCTCGTGGAAGAGTCCACCCCACCTTGCTCTAGCCCTGCTCGGTTTTCTGAACGTTAGCATTTTGCATTTCTCAGTGCTGTGCAAGCAGGGGTCACTTCATATCCGCGGCTGCTGCTTTGCCGACACGGAAATGAAGGCACAGGGCTCTCAGAAATCACCCAAGGACACAGGCATATGACAGACAAGTCGGGAGGAAAAAGCCTCCTAGCTCCTGGGCCACTACCAGGCGTGCCTGCTTGGAGGTCATCTCATCTCATGGTGGTGATCAACTCATTCCCCAAATGCCGAAAACCCAGGGCTTTTGTTTTGTTGTTTAAACTTACTCGAGAGCCAAACTGGTTTCATCCTAATCACCCAAAACCTTAGGGGTGCCCACACGAGCCTTTGATACAGAACAGATTCAGGGCATATAAGTCTTCCTCAGACCCCCCAGGTAAAAAATTTATCTTTTAATTCCCATTTAATCTTATAGCATCTATTGAAATATGGAGGACCCGCATCTTTCTTCGAAATACAAACCAGGGACCTGCCATCTGTATACTTCTTGCAAAGTATTCCTTGTTAAGCCCTTTGCACACTTCAAAACTTAAGTCTAAAAAATACTCACCTGCCCTTTTTTTCTTTCCCTGAAAAGATGAAAACAAAACAAAAGTTACACATTTGAACCATTTTAGCAGACTGTACTCCTGCAAGCACGAGAGGAGGAGGACAGTGCTGAGATACCACATCCACAATCATGCTAGGTCAGGCCAGAACCAGCATCACCCACCCCGAGCCCCGCTCCAGCCGTATCCAGGACTCAATGCTTTATAAGAACACCCCTTTTTCTCAATCCACAGATACCTTATGCCCTGAAGCCAATAAGAGACTGTCACAAGAGAGCAGGAGATTCACTCCTTCTCCTCTTCCAGTCTAGCTGCACCCCTGGTACACACAGCTCCCCCAGGACACAGCTGAGTCAGTGACAGCCACAGGGTATATTATAAATATCCAGAAGTACCTCTAGCAACCCCTGGGATAGCTTCAGGGATAGCTTGTTTCATTACCTCTTGTATTCCTCTAGGTCCAGCGTGTCAGACTTGGTGGCCACCAAGGCGATGTCCCTGCACATCCCACACTGGAAAGCCTTCATGCCTTCATTCAGCAGGTTCTCATCGATTTTTTTTCCTTGAATACGTTCAAAAGAACTGACTACCCAGATGACAGAGCATTTGTTGATGTTCTGCAAGGGGCAGTAGGGGAAGAGAGGGCCAGAAAGAAAAGATATAAACATTAGCAAAGAACAAATGCCAGAAACATTTTCAATTGCCAGTAAACGGTTGAATTAAAAGGATGTGCAGCCTTTGCAGGAGTGTACTTCCAGCCAGAGACCTCAGCCTCCCATCATGAATTCCTACAACCTAGCACTGCAGCTGATGGGAGCTGATGGACTGGACACCCTTGTGGAGCATTTGGCAGCAGCTTAACACCAGGTAGGAAGAAGGATGAATATGGGATCAGCACCTGCAAGGCTGCCAAAGGAGAAACACTACAAGCCTTTGATGCTGTCCACAAATAGAGCAACTCCACCGTATCTAAGCTGCAAAGCTCATCAGCTCAGGTGTGCACTACAATATACACTGAAATGCTATTCGGGGCCTTCTGCTAAAAGGCTTCCCTGTTCCCCACTGCACTGCTGATGAGTCTAAATCTCTCTCTCACTTATTCTTCTGGGACAGTAACACCTCTGCAGCTTTTAAAAGCTCCCAGCCATAGCTAACAAGTACTCCCACCTGCCCCACAGGACACCCTGCCAGTCACCTCTTTCCACATTGCATCCCTTTTGCTATTGAAATCGCCTGCCCCTGGAATATCCAAGAAGATGACACCTTCTGGAATCACATCCGACCTTGGGAGAGTCACTTCCACATTTCTGATTAATGGCCAAAGTTGCATCTTTATGTCTTCTTCACTTGTTTCTGATTCTGTGTCATCACTGATGCTCTGAGCCCGAATATACATGTCCAATTTTTCAGAAAGCTCTTCTGCCTAGGACACAGCAGAGGAATAAAGAAATACCCATTCTTAGCAAAGAACCTCAGAGATAACAGGAAAACTAGGATGATCTTCCATGGCTGGTTGTGACATTCAGAACCCCCTTTCTCCAGTGTGGACCCAAAAATAGGAAGAAGGGAAATGACTTCCCCAGGGTCCTTCACTGTCCACACTGGTGGGGCAACTCCAGGAATCCCCACCCTTCCCAGTAGGAAGGATGTCCCTCACGAATGCAACAAACAGATGGAGAAAAGACATCACTTCCCACCCCCAGTGGACAACAGGAGGCTCCCAAGATCAGCTGGCACCCGGGATTCACCTTCCTCAGGAATCTGCTGGGCGCTGTTTCTCACCCACACTGGAATAGACACACTGGAAAGATTCAATTTAACAGGATCTGGAGAGGAACCTGCCTCACCAGCCTGGGTATCCTTCCCAGAGAGAGGCCAGCTCCAAAGACTTCCCCCACTTGCTAGAATTGAGACAGAAGTAACTGAGAAGGTCCCTGGCTGTTTTTTGCAAGGATACAAACTGAGTTGTCATGTTGGCCCAGAAAGGCACAGACTACTCACTTGCAGTTCCTTGAAAACGATACATCTTGAAGAGGGAATACTGACGACGGGTTTCGCCCCACACAGCTCTCTATAAGTCTTAGTTTCAGCTCCTCTCCCATAGATCGCACGGATCTTCAAAGCAGCCTCATCTCTTTCGTTGTCATTTTCACTATTTTCCTCCAGTTCCATAAGTGCCACCAGAGCCTTGAGTTCATCCTTCCACTCCTGTTGGCACAGACACAGAAGAGGCAACCCGCTTGAATGCTGGGAAGAGGGAGGGGAAGGATGGGGCCTGAGCAAGATTGCTGCAAGACAACCAACACAACAGGCACAGCTGAGGTGTCTTGGGCCTTTGGGATAGAAGAGCAAGGAAGAAGTTATATTGCTTCTCTCCTTGTGCACCTAAAGCAGTGGGAACTACTGCCAGTGTCTTCAGGGACACTTCTTCAGGGACACTTTGGCCATCAGGTGTTACATCCTCTCCCACCCCCAAGTCCCTTTCAGAAGGCTGTACTTCCCTCTGGAGAAGCCCTCTAAGACTCAGCCTCCTTTCTTTCTCCTTCAAGGGCAAAAATATGAATATTATCCTTGCCTCATCATCCAGAAGGTGAATTTTTGCTTCATGGTATTTGCTGCGGCTTGTGTTGATATGCACCACACAAGATGTGCAGGTTTTGCTTCCAGACACTGGCAAGAAGAATTTTTTCTCTATAATGGCATTCAGTAACGTGCTTTTCCCAGCCCCAGTGCTGCCAAAGAGACCAACATAAATCGGATCCTGTAAAACATTTGGCTTCAAGCCTGTAAGGCGGTTCCTGAGGAGGAAGAGAGAAGAAAGGGCCATTTAAATAACTCCATCAGATCTGTGTATTTGAAAAAGGTGAAGCACATTTTGTTATAGATACAAAAGAGACTTTCAGCTGGAAGCTGTGGGATCCCACATATGCTCCATACCCAATTCAAAGACAGCTTCCCAGGGACTCAGTGGACATCATATCAGCTTCATTTTCATAGCAAGGCTCTATAAATGTTCACTTTCTAACAGGCATTTCATCTCTACAGGAAATGGAGTTTACTGTCTTTGGAAAGGATTTCCAGCAAGTTCTGCAAAGCCAGAACAGGCTGCACCCAGGACCTCTATCTGTGCTTGGGCCCAGGGAGGAGAGTGCCATTGAATCTGGATTTTCAGAGGTGCTCCTTGGGCAGTAGCGGCTTCCTGGGGTGTCAAGGATTGCTACCTGGGAAAATAATTACATTCACAGGCCATGCAGTTGAGGGAATGAGCTTTCCTGAAAACGGAAGTGTCTCACAACTGTCAAGACTCCTGAACATTTTTCTGAAATATCTGCTGCTCACCCAGCCTAGCACTTTCTCTTCTTCCCTACAAATATAGGATGGCTTAAAAGCTCATGAACGTGGTAAAAACTCTGGACCACCTCTTTCCACAGAAGAATCAAAAGATGCCCTTTGGCAAAAAATTGTCTGACAACTCACTTGATATATCCAAACCCATCTGTTGTTCCAGGCACGCTATGCAGCGAGAGAAATTCTGACAGCTTCCTACAGGACTGGTCCAGAATGGTCCTTAGGGCCTTCTGTTTCTTCTTGTCTGGAAGAAGGACACAGTTGTATGATCAGAGCTGCGTCCGTGTCCCCGTGTCCTAGGGTGGCACCTCCCAAGCTAGGCAGCCCTCAACAAGAGAGCCCCCAAAACCCAGCTCATGAGCATCAAGCAGATCACTCTGCATGCTATTCGCAACACGGACAGCCCCAGAACTGCTGGTTCTGCGGGGCGGTTTGGTAGCCAGGAAACCAGCAAAGAAGAGCCTCAAGGCTCAGAGGACGGTTTCACCCTTTTAAGGGAGGGCAACAAGAAGGGTGTGAAAACCACTAAGCTGATGACTTCTTTCCATGGCAAGTGCAGATGCAGGTGTGTGAATTTAAGCTGGCACCATCTCACACAGACCGGTTTTGTCCCACGAGCCATGGCTGAGCCTGGGTCACTTTATTTATGTGCAGAACAGTTTTTATTCCAAATGTGCTCCTCAGGGTCAGCAAAAGCTGCAGTTACGCATACTCACAGTTCCTCAGAGCCTCATCTTCAACATTTTGAGAATTGATGAACTTTCTCTTTTTCCTGGGAGTCTCTTCTATTGCACTATCATTGTTACCTTTTCAGAGAAAGGGGAAATCTCATCAGTACTTTAATTCTCTCCAGAGGTTTTATAACCCCAAAAGTTCATGCCTGAGGGGACTGGGAAAGCATCCATTTAAACACCTTACCTCTTAGCTGGTACTATTAGAAACAAAAGCCCAGGGGCCTGAAATGGATGAGCTCAGAGCAGGAAGCCTCATACTGAACCTGCTGTCTGCTATCCTTTCCCACAGGAGGCTATGCAAGAGATCCCCAAACTCCCTTTATTTGCTTCAGCTTAAATCACCCTTTTACCTTAAGCACAGAAAATGCCATCGCGGTCCAAGCCCTAAATTCTGCCCAAGGGTGAACCAAAACTATATGAGCAAATCATAATTGAAACTGATTTCAGAACAATAAAAAACAGAGGGGGTGGGGGGAGCTAGGTCACATGTCAGAGCTCGGAAAGCAGATGCTAATGGTGAAAATCTGGGCCTCTTCTCCATCAGGTGCAAACTGAAGAATGCAAAATTACAGCAGCCGGGTCACCCTGCTCCATCAGGGCACTTGCGGCGGGACGCAGTTGTCGTTTACCTTGTTCTGGTCCTCCTTCTGCCATCGGGACACACTAACCCCGAACGAGGGGTGGCTTTAAGTGAGCGATGGGTTGTGGCTGCTTATTGGAAACTGGGATGTTTGCAGATCAGAAGGTAAGGCGGTGGCTTCAGGAAAAAAATAAAAGATGGAAGTATTGCAAGCTCCTCCTAGGGAAGAGAGAAGAGCACAGTGACGTTTTTCAGTCGGGCTTGCCTTGTTTTGAAAAGGACGTCACCACTACATCCTTCACAGCAAGATTTTTTTATGAATTTTTATGCTTCTAGCTTGTTTGCAGGACACTATGGCTTCACCTTAAAGTATCCCTGGGAATAGGATGAGCTGCATTTTCTGCATTGGTACGTGATTTTAAATGCATGAGAATGGCAAAAGCCAGAGAGGAAAAGACAGAGAGACTGACAAGTCACGTAGACTTAACAGCACATGGAAAATTCATCTTTAAACAAAAACTACCGTGCAACACAACGGTTAAAAGCAGCTTCTAGTTCTTACCTTCAGGTTTGTGGAGATGCCGGCAACGCCCATAGAGCAGAAACGAAACTAGAGCCAGCAGCAAGCTCGGTGGGTGTAGACGACTCCTCCCTCGGAGACATGGGTGAGCAGCCGACAAAGGAGGCACTTCCGCTGCCAGCTTCCAAGCCATCTCTTTAAACAACCACCAGCCTTTCTCTTTAGATTGCTTTCAGGTTGTGTTTTCAGGCTCTTCCCTGGATTTGAGAGCTTCTCCTGGATTTGCATTTCTCCAAGTGTCTCCACCCCCCCACCCGACTCCAAGGGCTGGAAGGTAGAAACCCCACCAGCTAACAGGAACCCTGGGGAGAAGGTACCTGGAGCGTGGGATGAAAGAGCTGCGGTGCCATCTCTCCCACCTGGCAGCACTTTGCTTTCCCCGAGCCACCCACCTCCCACTCAGCTCCCAGCAAAGCAAAGAGTATCTCCAGAAGGGTTATCAACTTGCTGTCTGTCTGTCCTGGCTGTTTGCTCAGCCCGTCTGCCCATGCCTGGCCCCCCTTACGCCAGCGTGAGCTGGGATGAGGTTGAGCTGGGAGGGAGCAGCTTGGGCCAGGGTGGGGGCTGCCCTTCCTTGCCTGGTCCAGCATTGGGAACCTGTGGGTGCTGTGGTGGGCTCAGCTCCTCTGAGCCTCCTTCTCACCCATTTGCACCCTTGCAAGAGCTATTTTTTCAGGCGCACCCACGGTGGGATGCTGGAACCTCCCTGTCCTCAGGCTGAGCCCATCTCTGCTCAGCCTCTTCCTCCCAAAATCTGCCCACATGCTGCTGCAAGGGGAGTCTGGTCTGGCCTCTGAGGACCCAGGTGGCACCAGCCCCAGGGCTGTGCAACGGGCTCAGCTCTCCATACCTAACCCCGACCCCAGCACTGGGGCTGTGCCAAGACAACAGCTCCCTTCTCCCATCTCTGGGGCTGGGACCTCCTTTGGACACACGCGTGGGCGAGGAACACACATTCAGGTTGACTTTGCTCAGAGAAAAGGTCTTTATTGAGGTATCAGCTTGGACAGGAGGTGCGTGGGGCTGCGCAGGTCTCAGGGGGGACAAGAACACAGCATACCTGAGCACCTGGTCTCCAGGAGCTATTTCCAGGCCCTGCAGAGGTCCTGTTGGCATTAAACCTGGGACAGCTGAGTTGCCAGAGCCTGGAGATCAGACCAAGCCCCTTCCACAGGGCCAGCTCTTGCTGCTGGCTGCAACAAAGGACAAGGACAGAGCTGGGGCTGCAGCACCTTGGAGCCATGGAGGACCATGAACTTTGATGTGTCCTGAGAACCAGGGCTAATGGGGCTAGTCTTTCCTCCACCTCCTGCCTCGCCCCTTGCCCACATCATCAGTAAAACACCTTTTCCAGGTAGGCGTTCAGGAACATTCCCGTGGGATCCAGCTTCTCCCGGACGGCGCAGAACTTGGGGAAGGCCGGGTACATGGTCTCAAAGTCCTTCCGGGTGCATGTGTGTGCCTGCAGTAGAGAAACCAGCTAGGGGCTCCCCATAGCTCCACTGGCCCTGGATCCCCCCCCCCCACCCCCGGGGCGCAGGAAGCACCTTCTTGCCCTCATCTGCATGCCAAGGGTGGTTAGCAAAGAGGTGAAACCCTGTGTGCACAGGGCTGCAGGCCATCTCCTTGAGGCACCCCCGGTGGTGCACAGTGAGAGCAGGTGGATGTGGGTGCCCTTCTCAGACCCTCTGTGGATGATGACCCCTCCCCAGATGACGAGCCTGGACAGAGAGGGGGAAGCCACCCCCTTCCCAAGCCCCAGGTCCCTCTCCCCCGGGAGCAACAGGGCCATGGATACCTTTGCCCAATGCGGCCTCCCGCCGTGCTTCTTCATGATGCCCTCGTAGGTGAGCCAGTAGTTGAGCCGGGGGACGTTCTTCCCGTAGGGCCTGGAGGGCATTAGTTGGAGCCATTCGCATACCAGGAAAACCTCTTCCATGTTCCCCTCCTGGGGGAGAAGGGCTCCGAGGCGACCATCGGGGACCTGGACTGCCTCTTTTACCAGCACCAGGGGATGGAAACCCTCTGGGAACTCAGCCAGCCCTCTTGGCACCCCAAAACCCTCTTGCCAGGCAAAGAGCTGTCCTTAGGGAGAGCCAGGTGCATGTCCTCCCTCTGTAACCCCTTCCCAGGAGCTTGACTCTCCAGGAACTCAGGCAGCATGTGGAGACTGCCAGTCAGGCTTTGGGGCAGGGACAGGGAAGGGGACATTGCAGGCAGGGCCTGAGGGCTCAGGCAGGACCAGAAGTGGCTCAAACTTCACCAAGGAAATGCCAGCGGGCAGCAGGGCAAAATCGTCAAGGTAAGAAACGGGGGGAGGTCCACTCCAAGGCACCCCAAGACCACCCTGTCCCCTGCTGCCCAGGTCCTGCCTGGCCACTGAGGGCTCTGCAAATGTCCAAGCAGGGCAAGGAAGCTACTGTGCAGGAGCTCATCGAATCTGGCTCCCCAGTGCCAGCCAAGAGCCGGCTGCGGTGTCTGAGCTGTGGACGTGCTGCTGCAGGCTCTCTGGGTGCGACCCGGAGGGGAGGAGGAGAGGAGCAGAACAGAGTTGGGCAGCCCCTGAGCACCCAGCACCATGGCTTACCGGTACATGATGATGTTCATGTAGCAGCTATCCCGCCGGAAGCAGGGGCTCAGCCAGATCTCATCTCCCTGCACAAAGCGCACCTCCACAGGGTAATGAGCCACCATCTTCGGGTTGTTCTCCAGGGCGGCCTTCAGCTCCAGAAGGGCCTCCTTTGTCTTCTCACTGCCCAGGAACAGCCCCCCAGCCCCGGTTAATGTTAGCATGGCCATGACCAGGTGCTGCTGGGCTGGAGCCCTCCTTGTCCCCCCAGCTTCATCCCCCACCCAGTGCTAATTCAGGGTTTGGCTTGGTAGGTCCCAGCAAATCCCTCCCATTGCTTGGGTTTACAGAGTCCCAAGACATGCCATGGAGGTTGGATCTGATAGCCTACGACAGGACACAGAAGGTCCCCATGCTAGGCTTGCAGGTTGGCATGGTGCCAGCGAGCCAGACTCCTTTGCATGGAGACCTCGCCACTGCCCCGGGGGCAGAGCACGCGGAGGGTCTGCAGAGCCATTTACATGGGGATGGCCCAGTCTTGAACATGCTGCTTGAAGCGACACTCATAGTTGAAAATCTTGTAGCTGACGGCAACGTTCTCCACCCGGGAGCTGAAGAGGAGCCAGAAGAAGAAGCGGTTGATCCAGCACACCAAGCTGGGCACGAAGGTGCTGCAGGGGAAAGAGCGGGAAGTGAGGCCGGACCCCGGAGCTGTGGGATTGCCACAGGCAGGGGGGGAGCTGCAAGGCGCCCAACCACAGCACGGGGATGCTGGGCAGGAGATGCCCTTTCAGGGGGCTGTAAGCAAAGCAGGGAGACCCCCTACTAGGGTCCTGGAGCCCAGGGGGACCTGCAGCTCTGCAGGGAGCCGCTGTGCTCTCTGCAACCAAATCTGGGACCTGTGCCCTTGAGAGACACTCTCAGCATCTTGGGGGCGAGGCCCTTAGCAGCGTTCGAAGCAGCCATGTCCCCCCCTTTCCATATTCACCGAGTCCAGCCGGGCTCTCCTGGGGCACTGGGGTCCTACTTCCCAGCCCAGCCTCGGTAACGTGGGGGAGGGCTCAAGACACCTCTGCAGCCAACTCCATCTCCCAAAGGCTCCTTTGCTCTGCTGCAAACCCATGTGGCTCCCACTCTGCGCACACGAGAGGGCAGTGCAGTCCCAGATATCATCCCCGAGCCAAAACCCACTCCCTTCTGCAGAGGAGCTTGCTGGAGGGGAACAGATGAGTCCTTCATCCCCAAGGGTAGGATGACCTGGGGACAAGTCCCCTCATGCCATCATCCCCCCTCTCCCTCCCCTGCTTAGGGCACCCAGCATTAAGGGAAGCAGCACAGGAGTTATAGAGATGCAGGGAACAGAGCTGGGCAGCAAAGGGCCTGCAACCCTGGACAAACCTGCCCTACCCTCTCCTCCCCCAAGCCTGGTCCTACCTGATCCAGAGCAGAAACTCCAGCAAATAGTAGCCAATGGCGTAATCCCAAAACCAGCTGGCAGAGGAAGAGGGAGGCTGCAAAGCCAAGCAGAGGAAGGTGACGATCACCAGGAACTGCAGCTTTCCTCACCTCGCTTGCCAACAGGCACCGAGATGGGCAGCATGCACCTGGGCAGGGCTGGGCTGGGAGCAGGGGTTTGGAGAAGGGCATCCCAGGGCCACCCAATCCATCTCCCATGGGCAAATGGGGCCACATCCAGTCCCAGGAAGGGGCAGACCTCACAGTGCTGGACTGGAGAACAGGCTTTGTGATGGGGATACGGAGAGCTTAGAGCTAAGGTGCAGGCCCAGCTGCTGGCAATGCCACCCTCCTCCCAGGACCTCCAGACTATTGAGCCGCTCCCAGCTCAGCCCTGGGATACTCCTGTCCAGCCCCAAGTGCTGTTTGCAGGATCAACCACCCCCCAACAGCCCTTGCCCTGCCTGGTGTCCCAAAGCACTGGCTGTGGAAGGACACCCGGGCTCTGTGCATGGGCCCCTCTCTCTCCTGGCGTGGGACCAGTGGGACCTGCCTTGCTGGTGGGGTCCTGGTAGATGACGCTGACGTTCTCGCTATGCGGGAACCACAGGAAGCGGAAGTATTTGGATCTCTTCAGGTGGTCGTTGAGATGATCCAGCACCTGAAACACCCCGAGAAACCACAGCTGGTCAGCGAATGGCCCCTCAGAGCAGGCAGGGAGGCACCTCGGAGGCCTCCAGGCCAACTGTGGAGCTGGGCATCGCCAGTGCTGGAACAGGGCTGGGGATATCATCTGCAATCTCGGTGATCCCAGGTTTGGAGGGGAGTCAGTGCAGCCTGGCCATGCCAGGAAGGAGATAAGAGACCCACAGACTCAACTCCTGGGAAGGAGGGGAAAGGGGCATGTCCATGGTCTCCTCTGCCTCGAGCAGGCTGTAGCAGAGACCTCTGTCTTGCAGGCACTGCTGGCTCCTCCCCACTCATGCAGCACCTGGTACACAGGGCGTCCCCATGGCCAAGCACAGACCCCAAGTCCTACCACAGTCAAACCACTGCCAGCCCAACACTGCTCCATGAGCAATACCCCAAGCGTGAAGCAGCACAGCCAGGGCCACAACGGGCATCCTGGGCTTCCTCCAGCCATCAACGATCCGGGGCCCTGAGGCAATCGTGGGCATGGAGCTGGGACGCCTTGCTGAGCCTGAAAGCATGGAGCACCCTGGAGACACAAACCCTGAGGAGCCAGCACCCAGCAGCAGCCCCTGTCCTCATGATCCCACAACGCCTTCACGTGCCCCTTGGAGATATGCAGAGTCCCAATGCGCTCGCTGCACTCAGCTGAACTGCGGCAGCCGTGATGGAGGATGCTGCCCTGGGCTTTGCTGAGGTGCGTTGTCACTTAAATATAAATATGTATATATATTTATAAAGCCCTCCATCCAGAAGCGAGAGGGGTCTGTGCTGGGTAGCGAGGCTCTGAGATCTTTTCTTTGCTCGGTTCCCATCTCCTTCCAGCACTGCCAAAAGCACCAGGGTCCCAGAGAAGCCCCCAACCTCTCGGGAGAAATGCAAAATTGCCAAATTATTCATAAAGACAGAGAAAAGAGCTTTAAGAGAGGCAGCTCCTTAAAGAGGAGCCATGCAGCTATCTGCTGCAGCCTTGCAGGGAGGCTTAAAGAAAACCCAGCAGCTTTCCTTTGGGGCGTTTGCTCGACGGAGGCGAAGCGCGCGCTGGGCGCAGAGAGCCTCCAACGCCGCCCCGGGAAGATCAGGGTGACCTTGACTGAAGCTGCCCGCTTTCAGCTGGGTCGTCTGAGAGCCTTGTTTTAATGAGCTATTAAGCCCCAGGTTGGGCTGTTTTAGCATGGAGCGTTTTGCTGTGACCCCCGCGAGGGCGAGACCTTCGCGCCATTGCGCTGCCGTAATGCCTGTTAAAGCGGAAGGGATGGGAAGGCGAAATGCGATGCCTGTGACTGATGAGCATGAGCGGCCTGGTGCCTGCTGCTCCCAAAGAGCCAGGAAACCACCTCTAAAACCTTTCTGACGACAGCCTATTTTTTTTGGCCAGAAAAGTTGCTAAATGCATCCCCTTGATCCTTGCAATAGGTTTATTTTCAGCTGGCTGCTAGCCTGCTACGGGCTAACGGGGCCGGCAACAGCGGGC